CCCCAAAACCCCAAAACCCCAAAACCCCAAAACCCCTTCTTAATTCTATATTATGGAGGCTAATATAACAATTTAAAATGGTTAAAGGAACCAATTGTAAGAGCCTCAATAAATGAAACAAAGGTAACGCAAAAACTTAGATACTATAAACAGCGTTTTATTCTAAAATAATTATGATAAGATGTATAGTTCATTCAAATGACTAAATTAATCCCTTGTGACATCATATGAATTTTCTCTCCGTTCGCTGCTATCTCATAAAAGATGCAGATGCTATCGGATCTTATCTCTCCAGGCTGTATGACAAAATTCCTAGAACAGATCTTTACACCTGCATCTTAATGGGAGTTTACGTACATTAGTTGTATGGATTCATCTGTAAAATTGGGTCTGAAATTTACTCAAAACTTGCTCAACCTCAGAATTCCTTCGAATAAAATTTAACTGAACTAAGTTTGGTTCGAAATTTGATTGAATATACAACGAAGGTTGAAGTTCATATTTTAGGAAGCACAGTAAGGCTGCGGCTTCACATCTTTAGAAGGATTAGATCAGGCCTCTTTAAACTCATTCTTAGACACTGACGAGCAAGTGATTATAGGACTCTTAGGAGTTTGGTATCTCGAACATATGCTTCTCTTCAACAATATGGTGTAGAAATAGTTCTTCAATACAGCCATTTTTCGAAAAGCCTTCAAATTTCACAAAGCAAGCTCAACTCAAATGTTGGCTGTTCCATTTCACAATACTGACAATCTTCTCTAGATGTATCAAAGTGTTGAAGTAAACACAAGAGTTCCGCATGAAGATGAGTATGATTTAGCAGGACAGAAAGTAGAGCCACAAATTGGGAATCCATATCTAAGACTGATATGTAACAACCTTGTGTTATGAATTTAGTGAAAACTTCACTTCTTCTTTCACTTCAGAAGAAGGAAACCCTTCTTCTGTCCAGAATGACAGAAGTTCTATCCTGGAGAGACATACTTCTTCTTCAGACCCACTTGAAGCAATCTCCCTTCAACCCAATATGGATGAATTTGTTGACTACAATTAAGTCCGATAATGTTGAAGAAGAACTTACCTTGCAAGAAGAAATTAAGGATAGGGAAAATGCTCTTGAAGAACTCACTAGCATACTTGGAGGATCTTCCTCCTGCCCTTCATTCGCTCCTTCAGGTAAGGTACTTAAGATAACTCCTGTAGTTAAATTTGAGAGACCAGGATGTATCCCAAAATTTAATCACAAAAGGAGTTCAAGAATGAACTTTACTGGCATCTTTAGAAAGCCAGAAAGAGCTTCCTTCAACCTCTATTCTTCCCTATCAAGCCACAAGAAAGACTCTAGTGGCATGTACTTCTAGGTTTTATAAAACTCTTAAGACTCATTTAAGAGTTACTCCTAAGTAAGGCAGAGGGTAACTGAGTAAAGACATTGATTGTCCAATCAATAAAGTCTCAATTATTTCTTTGCTTTAAAATATAATACAGTGTATTTCAATGCAGGTTTTCAGGAAAGGGGTTTTGGGGTTTTGGGGTTTTGGGGTTTTGGGG